ACCTGCTGTAAATATAGCTCAGAATGTCTGAGGGAGGGCTGAGCAGGGGATTCCTGCTGGGAAGGGATGAAAGCACAAGAATGAGTTGGGGACTTGTTTCCTCTGTCATCCTTGTCATCCTTGAGTTGTGCTACCCATCTTCTCTGCCCTACAACCACTGGTCTGTCTCAATCTCCCTGCCTCAAGCAGCCCCCATTGCAGGCCCACTTCATGGCCATAGGAAGGTTATGTGAGTGTGGATGGAGAATTAAACATCGTGGCTGTCATCACACAGAGAAAGGCCTGGGTGAGGTACTCAGGGTCCCATCTCACCTCTCACCCCTCCTCAGTGGCAGCCAGATGTAAGGCCATCTGGGACAGGGAGGATGGGGACATGTCCCCAGGAATGCTGTGCCTTGGAAGACATGCAGGTGTGTCAGCATGGATCTGGGATGTCAGCCCTGCTGCCAGCATCCACCTGTGTGATGCCACTGGGGACATGCAGCCTGGGGATCCTCATTGCACCCTCAGATGAGGGACTGAGGAGGGGAGGAAGCCATGGCCAGCTCTGGAGCAATGGTGACTGACATTCACTCACCAGGAATCTGTTGGGGAATATTTTTATCCTCTGGGTGTGAGTGTGCTACACGTCAGAGCCATCTGCCACACAGTCACTTTTGGGAGAGCTAAGAAGTGCAGGCATGAAAATCTGTGAGAGTGCATTCCTGTGCCCTTCAAAGCTGTTGTGTCCCCAGGTCTCCTCCTGGGGTGCCTGGGGATAGGGCTGGGATGACTTCTTGTCCTTCTGGGGAAAGAGACAAACTCTTGCATTCTCCAAAATGGAGATGGTCTTGAGCTCTGCAGAGCAAGGCCAGTGCACTGCAAGCTGTTTCAGACATTGGAAGCTGAGTGACACTCTGGCAGCAGCCTCACTGCACAGCCAGCCTGATCCCCTCATCCTTTCAGCATTGATCCATCTTTCTTCAGTGTGCACAGCCCTTCACACCCAGCTAGCATCAGCCCATCTACAGAAGGCCACAAGGAGATAACAGAGTGCCCCAGAGTGGAGAAGTTAGTGCAGGAGATTTCGGTTCTTCTGTATAGGGTGAAGTAGCCCTTGGATAAAAATAAGTGATAAAAATAAATAGAGGCATCAGCCCATGCCAAAACACTGGAACTGCTCGCCCTAAAATATCGGCTGTTGACATTCAGAAACCAGATTCAGACCATCATTTTGCAACTAGCAGGATCCCCCATCCTCATGAGAGATGCCCTGGATTAAACACCCCTGGAATTTGTGGTATCTGGGGTTTTATCAAAGGAGGCTGTTTCCACTTGAGAATCCCTCATTCCAGCCTGGCTGCTCTGCCGCAGGAACTCGCCTGGTTTACAATGAGCCATCTCCTGCTGATGAGCTGGAGCTGGGAAGACATGTTTGTCCAGTTCCCTTTCAACACTTTCTAACCTCCTTGTGGCCCAGACTTTCCTACCAGAGTGTAGGATTTAATAATCCTTAATGATAGCCAGGCCAAGGATAGCATTCAGCCAGGTTTTCCTAAACAGCTACATCTGAAATCTTTATCCAAGTACAACCCCCCAGTAAATTCCCTGACAAATGACTGGAAACATTGCAGGGTTGTGGCAGACCTATGGCCAGGACCAGAATTAAATCAGACCAAAAGCTTAAGCCATCATATAACTCCAGAGGGGTTTTTGGATGTAATTGGTGCTGCAGCTGGGCTTGGTGTTCCTCTCTGCTGCCAAGATTTGCAAGTGCTAGAGAACTGCTTCACTCCCACCAACTTGAAGTTACAATTGATCCTGGGAATTCTGTGCAGTTGGCAATTATTTGTATCAATTTTTAGTGTAAGCCAGTATGTTGCTGATGTGGACTCAGTTGATACCAATAAGATTTATCCTGATTTAACCACACCCCCGTGGAGGGTTTGTGCTGATTTCTTTAGAGTGGATTCAAAGTGGATTCAATTTTAATTAAACCAACATAACTTTGCTGTGTGGATGATGGCTTGGGCAGGAGCAGTGTGACTGGAGGTCTGAGCTGGACAAGAGAGGCAGCACATGGGAGGAAGGTGACAAGAAACTGGAGAAACATGTCTTCTCTGGCTTCTCCTTCCCTGCCCTTCCATCTCTCTGAAAAGCTGGCAGGGCTGCAACTTTTTGACTGAATGAGATGAGGGGAATTTGAAATGCCAAGTCGTGCAAGGTCCATGGCATACACTGAAAGAGGCTCTGTGCAGACACCATGTGGGTGATGTCACCTCGTCCCCGTCTCCTGCGCCAGGGCCAGCGATGTCTGTGCCAGCAGGTCCTCACTGCAGCTGGCTCTGCCCAGCCCTGGGTGCCTGCACTGGCGACAGGGACACGTTCGGATCCCCCAAAATAAGAGAGGAGACTCATTGCTGAGTGTGAGCAGACAGAGACAAAACAGCTTTGAAAGTTTTGCAGGCAGCACTCTCTGCCAGGTAGGGGAGATGAGCCCCAGGATCGAGGAGCATCCTGTGTCACCACAGCAAGCCTTGAGATGGGGCTGGAAAAGAAATACAGAGTCTGGGGACAGAAATACTAATGGAGAGAAAAGAGTTTTGGGGGACACATGAAGTCAAGAGTTTTCAGTCTTTTTAAAACTAAACCATGAGCTTTTTCCTCTGCTTTTCTCCATCTTCTTCTCCTGGGAAAGGGAAACTGCTCGAGCAGTTTGGGGTGAGGGGGCAGGGGAGGGTCTGCCAGATGTGCAAAAATGCTGGAGAAAGCAAAAAACTCAGAGAAAAAATTCTCTTTTGAGACAGGCTACTTTTCCATTCCTTAAAAAAGAAAAAAAGAAAAAGAAAAAGAGTTTTTCATGAAAATTTTCAGGCAGTTCCATTGTTTTGCTTCAGCCTTTGATTTAACTACTTGAGCAAGTATTTGACAAAACCCTCCGTGTTTTTCAGGAGGTTTCTTAAATCCCACCGAGGTATGGGATTATGAGAAACAACAAATGGCAAGCTGTCTCTAACCCCACAGACTTTCTCACTCTCGTTTTCTCTCTCACTTTGGAATAAAAAATGCAGTGCTCCCTGCTGGGTTCTCTTTAAAATTCACATTGTCTCTTCAAATAAAGGCTGGGAGGGTGAGGTAGTGCTTTGAAAACCAGAACTCAGTCATACATTGCAGGGCCAGATCCTAGAGGATTATTCTCTCTCAGGACACTTTATAACTTCATGAGAACTTCTGGCCTGGCTTGTCTCACCAGCTTAGTGTGAGCGGCCCCAGCGGATGGCAGGATGACTGAGATCCCTACATCCCTTTCCATCAGGATGGCTGATGGAGACTTTTTAAACCGTGATAAAACAAATTCCACTCTTTTTTTTTGCCCTGGGGATGGTGGGGCCCATTCTCTGTGCAGCCAGGGGATGCTCCCTGCATGCAGGCAGAGGGAAGCCCTGCTGCAGCACAAGCCTCTCCATTGTGGCTGGCGCAGGCTGGGCTGTGGTAATGTGGTTTTCCCCTGTGGAATCACCCCTTTTGGTGTGATTCGTGCCTGCAGCAGCCTGTGCTGCCCCAAGGCTGTGGTGAGCTGCCAGCGTTGCTGCTGGAAAGCTCCGAGCTGGATGAGTATCTTGTTCCTAGGAGAAGTGCCTGGCAGGACAGCATGGCTGTGCTTTACTCTCACAGGGGAAATAAATAGATGAGCTTTTCCGCCTGACCCACCTGGACTTTTGGTAGCAAAAGCTTGGGAGCAAGGGGGTGAAGCTGGCAACTTCCTTTGCTGTTGTTTCAGCCTCTCCTTCCCCACTGTGGCAATGAGAGAAATGAAACTCATAAAGGAGCATTGTATCATAAACCACTGCACATTTATTTTTCTTAGGTGATGCTATCACCAGGCCATTACACTCTCATGGGGCAAATGGATCTGTGCTGAGACACAGCACTGAGCACAGACACACGGACACTGCAGCAGGACAGAACTCCCCATGCAGCACCCGCACCCAGGGGACAAGGACACGGACACCTCACCGCGCCAGACAGGGAGCAAGGGTTGAGCAGACCATTTAATTGGCATTGCAGCCTTGTGAAATTATGACGATGCCCGTCATTCTTACAGTACTATTTCTGTGATTTTTCAGTACAGAAGCAAGGAGCAGCTCTTGGACTCTGGTCCAAGGGTTCAGCCGGGCTTGTTTACATCTCTGCATAGGTCTGTGTGCTGGGCTCGGGTATGAAGGAGTATGAAGGACTGGAACACCTTGATGTCAGTGTTCCTGAGGCCTTTGCCCTGCTAAATTCTTGAAAACAGAAGATTGGTGGAAAAAATGTCGGTTTTGACAAGTCTTTCATGCATAGTTCAGACCTGTCACAGCTATGTCAAAATTCATCAGCGTAGCGAACTTATTAAACCTGGGGCAGAGCTGAACCATCTACAGCTCCAGTTCATGAGCAAAGCCAGCCGTTCCAGCCTTTCCGGGGAATCTCCCTTTCCCTCGCGGGGCACTTCGCAGCTGCCGTGGGTGGGAGCGTGGGTGCCAGGAGGGAGCTCCTGAGGCCGAGCGCTGCCAGCCCGGGCCGGGGGCTGCTCGGGGTGCCCGTGCCGGGGGCAGAGCCGAGGCTCTCCGCGGGAGGGAGCGCCCACGCGGGGCCAGCCGGGCGGGCAGCCCCGGGCTCCGCTCCGCCTCGCTGGGCGGGCGGATCCCAGCTCCTGATTTTCCCGGGGGCTGCAGAGGCTTGTCCCGGCCCTGCGCGATCCTGCTTGGCTGCCGCCCTCCCCGCCTCCCTCCACCTCCTCCTCCTTCTCCACCACCACCCCATGTGCTTCCTGCCGGGCCAAGTTCGCGGAGCGCCGCCGCACGCCGGGCCAGCGGAGCGGAGCCGCAGCGGAGCGGGGCGCAGGGCAGCGGGCGCGGCTGCTGCGGGGCGCGGCGGGGCAGGCTCGGCGGAGCGCCGGCTCCAGCCTCGGGGCGCGCTCGCCCGGCCCCGGCGGCCCCTGCCCGGCCGCACCATGCCGCGGCGGCGCGGCTGCCTGCCGCCCCTCCTGTGCGCGCTGGCCGCCCTCAGCCTGCCGCTGCTGCTGGCTGCCGAGCCCCGCGCCAAAAGTTGCTACGAAGTGCGGAGGCTCTACGCCGCCAAAGGCTTCAGCCAGAGCGAGGCGCCCAGCCACGAGATCAGCGGTGAGTCGCGATCGTCGCTGCCGCCTTTGTGCGCGCTCCGCCCGGCCCCGCGGAGCGCGGGGCTCCCCCCGGCCCTGATTCCCCCTGTCCCTTGCCCGGCTGCCCCCGGCCCGACTGGCCCCGGCCCGGCTGCCCTGGAGCCCAGCTCGGGGCGCGCTGCCCGGCTCGGCTCCGTTCGGTTCGGCTCTCCGGAGCTCGGCGCCCATCCCGCGCGGAGGGTCCCGGTGCTGTGCCCGCCCCCCGGGCCGGACCGGGCGGGACCGCGCCTGTTGCCGGCCCCGCTCCCGGCTCGGCGGCGGCGGGGCGGGCGCTCCTGCCCTTGGGCCGCCGTTCGCCCCGGCGGGGAGCGGGCGGCCCGTCCCTCCCCGGTGCCCGGCGGCTGCTGGCGGAGGGACTGAGACATGGCTCCTTTCCCCCCCCCCCCTTTTTTTTTTTTTTCCCCTTTCTTCCTTTATTTTTCTTTCTTTCATTCTTTCTTCCTTCCCTCCACCTTCGTCCCGAGGTACTTGCGCATCCCGGGGACAGGAGTCCTCGCAGCCGGCAGTAGTAGGAAATAGTAGCTAATGTGCTCACACCCAAAACATTTTATTCTTTTTGTTTCATCCTTCATCTCCCTCCCAGGGCCGCTGCTTTTATTTCCCCTTCTGAATGACCTACTGGACCGCATTCTCCGCGGAACAAAGGAAGTGCCTTTTTAGCTGGAATCCTCGGAGACCACCAAGGACTCCAGCTCATGCACTGCAATTTCGCACTACTTTCAACAATAACAAAAATGCATGACTGAATGGCTCAAAAATGTGGAGTGTTGGAGGCATTCATTTCGGTCTGGGACACTGTCACAACACAGACAGACCCCAAGTAAATACCTTTAGACGGCTCAGATAGAAGCTGGGGGTAATCTTTACCATTGCTGTGCCCTCCAGATATGCATACATTATCCTTTTCACTGACAAAATTAAAATCATTTCAGTCGCTTGTGCTTTTGTATTGTCAGACTAATGATATGCATTTAGCCTACATCTGTTTGAATAAAATTGCAGGCCCGTTTACTTCTCCAAGAAATATTTTAATGAGAAACGTCTGACTGGTTGCAGTTAAAATACTCTCTCCCCTTCACTCTGCCTGCTTTGTAAAATGGTCTCTAATAAATAGTCTTGCATTTTGAGTCCACCCCTCGTCAGTGTAGGATCAGAACATGAGCAGACTTCCTCTCAAGTCCAGTGTTGGGAAGGTTTGACCTAGTCCTTATTTTATATATTGTTGTTTAAGATGACTTGGTGAGCTTTGGAGTCAGGAGTAGATCATGCTGACAGGGCTTCCATTTGAAGCTCTAAAGCTGTTGTCTGTTTGCAAAAACTGATGAGCAAGGTAAGATTATTTGACAAAGAAGGGCTTTCTGTAATGACATGCTGAAAATATCAGCTGGGTTATGTTGCTGTTCCAGGGCACAGGGAATCTGTGTCTGGCCTTGCTTGGAAAGCAACAGGTCTTGCAAAGTTGAGTTTTAAACGTAATCCTGCTGTGCGGGGTATTTCAGAGAGGGTGGTGGAAGTCTTTAAAGGAGGCGTGCTGTGTACGGCTTTAAAGTGTGTACCTCAAGTGCGACTGAATTTAAAATTAAACCTGGAGTGGGGTGCTACACCTGCTGCAGTTTCACGTTCCCCCTGTGAATTCATGTGGTTTTGGTGTGGGTTGTGTTTAGAGGCTCCAGATCTCTGCTCTTGCCGCTTGGCTGGCGCACACAGATGAGCAGTCCCACTGCTGATGCTGAACTTTCTCAGAGTGGAGAACTTCACCTGCCATTGCCCCGGTGGGATCAGCACAGGGCACTGGAGTCCCATGAGCCAGGTGATAACGCTGGAGGCTGAGGTCTGGCACCAGGGTAAGAGGTCTGTGGTGTGTATTGTGTCTCTAGAAGAGTCACTTGCCAAAGCTTTGATTTCAGTTGGCGTTTCAGGTGATAAGTGGCGTGTTTTCCATCAGGAGAGTAAGTGGTTTGGAAAGGCTGTTACCTGGGCGCCTGGCTATCACTGGGAACAAGATAAATGTGTGTGGGGGAATGAGCCATGTGCTAGGACGAGTATCCCACTGGGGTGATGGTAGAAACTGGTGATTTCTGCTTGGTGGCACCTTTCTGCTCACTGAACTGGTGGAGGACAGGTTGGGGAGGCTTCAGTGGGCTGAATGGAATCACATGTGGACACATGAATGCTGATGGAATGATATGTGGACACACGGCTGTTCATGCCTGAAGTGCATCAACTTTGTTAGATTTTTTTTTTACTGATTTGATGGATTGTGCTTTATTCTCACATTCTCTTAGCAAGTTGCTTTAGTTCACACTACAGAAAGAAACTTCCTAGCATCTGTGTGAAAAGGTGTCCTAAAAGCTGTGGCAAATTTGTTTCTGTTTAGTGAACTATTTTTTTTGCTGCCAGGGATTACTGATCCTACAAAATGTTGGCCTTGAATTGCCAAAGTGATGCAAGCAGCTGTGTGGTGCCAGCAGATGTGTCCCTGCACTGGGCTTTGTAACAGCAAGTGAAACTCATCCTCACTGGAAGGGCATGGGAGTAATTTGGTGTTTTATAGCATCTCACGTGGATTTTTTGGCCACATTTATTTTCTTCAGGAGCAGTAGATATGCAAACCTTTCTTTCAAGGAAATGCCCATTCCAGCAGGCGTTTTATCTGTATCATTGCTATTTCAGTGGCATTAAAAGGCTGCTCCTTCACTATAATTACCCAGGAGTTCACTTTAATATTTATTTAGACCAGGTTCAGGACCTAATTAAGAGTATGCATAAATAGCAGGTTATATCTTGCTGAAGTAGCTAGGCATTTCTGAAAGAAGCACACAGCTGGTCAACTCAGTGCTTGCTTGATAAGAAGTGTAAAATGGGTTATTTGTGGTGTGAGACATAGAGAACTTGTTTCCTTTTATGTATATTTGCTGTTAGAGGTATAAACATAGACTACTGCTATAAATCTGCGTAGAAGCTTTTCATAATCTGCGGCCCTTTGGTGCTGCTTTGTACCCAAGTGTTCTTTAGTGGCTGCTGTCCCTATGGCCCTGAGGTGTGTGTGTGGCAAAGCTCCTGGCAGTGGTGAGATGCAATCTTGCTGTTGCTGGAGAGGTCAGTGCTTTCGTAGACCTGATGTCTACATAGTTGGTTTGTGAAACCTGACTCTTGATAGCATGTAGATAGTAGGTGGTGCAGGCACAGCACCAGCCTGTAACTGCTCTTAAGATGACTTTTACAGTTTGCCGAGGACAGGTCACATCTTGGGAAGTCCTGGAGCCACTGACTTCATTCAAACTCTACCCAGAATGTGTTGGTTCTTACGGATTCCATGTGTCTTATGAGTTGTCATGGTGATGGGGCAAAACTCCCCGGAGTGACCATCTGAAGGGGCTGCTTACCCTGGTTGTTCTTCTGGGGCTGCAGAATGAAATGCAAAGTGAGCTGGTGCAGTGGCATCTGGAGACCCACAGTAGGTGGCTGTGATTTAAAAAACAAAAAACCCCCACCCAACCTTTCTTTCAAAAGGCTGCTTCTTGCCCTCAGGTGTTAAAACAGATGGAAATTCCTTCCCTTTTCCTGCTAATTGGAAGAACTAGATGTTTCTTTTCCTGGATTGAAAAGGAAAAAAAAAAACCAAAACCATCTTGCCTGTTGACCAGCAAAGTTCTTGCAGCAGTGTCATCCCTGCTCTTGCTGCACTGCTGGGGAGCACAGAGCAAACCTGGAGCCTGCCTTTGCAGGGAGCTGGGTGCAAGCAGCACTCTGTTCAGTCTTAGTGAAGTGTTCAGTGTAATTAATCCCTGTTTAAACCAAATTAATTGAATAGCTGCATTTATTTGTGAGAGCAGTTGAGAGCAGTTCTTTCCCCCTGGCAGACAAAATCGGTTGAGCCTTGATTTTTGGACTTCTGAGCCTTTGCCCAAAGTAACTGAGGGCAGGTGTGCCCTGATGTCCTGCTGCTCACCTGTCCCCAGTGTATTTCTGGCTATCAGTGGGTGCCTCGGTGTGCTCCCCTTGGTCAGTCAGGAGGGCTGCTTTGTTTGCATTGCTGTTTGTTGGGCTTTAACCCCAGCCAGCAACCAAACCTCACACAGTCACTTGTTCACTTCCCCACCAAAAGGATTAGGGAGGGGACCAAAAGGGTAAAAGGTAGGAAACTTGGGGGTTGAGAAAAAGACAGTTCAACAGGGAAAACAAAAGCTGAGCATGCAAGCAAAGCAAGGAATTCACTGTTTCCTAGGGCAGGTGGGTGTTCAGCCATCTCCAGGAGAGCAGGGCCCCATCACACGTAACAGTGACTTGGGGAGACAAACAGCATAATTCCAAATGTCCTCCCCTTTCTCCTTCTCCCCCCCCACTTTATATACTGACCATATCACATGGTCTGGTATCTGTCTTTGGTCAGTTGGGGTCACCTGTCCCAGCTGTGTCTCTTCCCAATCTCCTGTGCACTTCCAACTTCCTCGTCAGCACATCAGTACAAGAAGCAGAAAAGACTCTGACTGTGTGTAAGCCCTGCTCAGCAATAACAAAAACTTTCCTGTATTATCAACCCTATGCTCAGCACAAATCCAGAACACAGTCCCATACTAACCACTGTGAAGAAAATTAACTCTGCTCCAGCCAAAACCAGCCCATTGTTTTACATGTCAAGTTCAGCAAATGCTTCTTTAGTTTTTCACATGCTTCTCTTCCATGTGGCCTCTTCCAACTGAGAAAGGGTTTCTGGATCCCCTCCAGGCCAGTGTTACTCTTGTCTGGCACTGCTGAGCCTTTTGCAGTCGGTTTGCACAAGGCAGCTCTGGACTTGCTGCGTTATGAGAAGTACCAGATAACACCTGGCCATCCGCATCCACTGAGGTCTGTTTGAAGGTGTGGAGTGACCTGGCCACCAGCTGTATCTATTTGCCACGATTCCCGTCCAGTGAAGGCAGTGGTCCTTGGTGGGCCTGGCACGCGGTGCTGGAGTGATTG